TCTCATTCCTAATTGACATAAAATGTGGCATTATTAAAATAAAAAAATATACTCCCTCCGACCTGTAACAAAGTATCTATTTTTCCATTTTAGTCAATTTCAAGTATTCATTTACTTTTTTTTTTTTAGTAACTATACTATCTACCTAACATTACAAATACCCTTACAACTTACAATATATTACACAAATGTCATTACCTTTATATCACACATACTAACAAAGTTATTTTAGTCATTTCTACTTTATTCTCACTATATCTCAATATAATACTAATATTTCTAAAACTACGTACAAAAAGCAAATGGATACTTCTTTTTGGGACGGAGGGAGTATATATTTTGGGTTGCTGCAAAGAGCAACTCAACAAAATCTCCTCATTTTTTCTTTTGTATTTATTTATAAAATTTTTATTTATTTTTTATTTTTATTATATAAAATTTTATTATCTACAAAATAATATATATTAATATATTTTTATTTAAATTTATTTTAAAAATAAATTATATTAACTTGAAAATAAATAAAGGGTGTGCTTGTTTGGGGGATTGGATTTCCAATATACTATTCATCCAATTTTTTCCCCCCTCAAAACATCAAATCAAACACCTATTTTTTATTTTTTATATTAGACTAAAAATTAATTTTACATTCAAAATATCACATCAATACCTATTTATATCACATTATACAACTATTCAAATTCAAAATTTTTATTATTCAAATCCCAACTCAAAATCCAAACCCACAAACAAACACACCCAAAATGTATATAATATTTTGTTGAGTTGAAAAAAAAGGGATGATAATTTGAAAATAGAGGAAAACTTTTAGTTCATTTATTTTGATGTGAATGATCTAAGACCATTTACATTAAAGTTTCTCTCATGTCACCTTTATTTAAAAAAAAAAAAAAACTGTTGTCTATTTCCTTTTCTTCTATATATTTCATTTTATATGGAACATTGGCAGGTGAGAAAATAGTTTATTTTGTATTTTATTTTAAATATATGTCATATTTTAGTATTTTTATATTTTATCAAAAAAAAAAATTTCTATAAAATAATAGTAATATTGATATATTTTATTCAATAAAATTTTAATTAAGTATAACAATTTTAATTATTTGTACGGTTGTATTTGAAATTATTTTTATTTTTTATAAATTATTATATTAAATATATTTTATATATTAATATTTTATCAAATATAAAATTAAAACTTTATTATTTAAAGTATTATAAACTAAAATACTTTAATTATATGGAGGAAAGAAAATTTAAAATTTTTGTAAATAAATTTATTTGATGGAAGTATTAGATTATGAATTTCTGAGATGTGACAGAAATAATATAATATGGAAGAAAAGAGAAAAATAGGAGAAATCCTGGTATAAGTTTATTGATGTAGACTCCATATCTGGTATTTCAACACTATTATTGCCGCGGAGCTGCTCAAATCTAGCGCCATTTCCAACATCAAATTTAGAGTTTGCTACAGTGCAATATTATTTTTGGTGTTGCACTGTAGCAAACGCTATTTTTTTTTTAATTTTTTTTTTAAAATATTATAAATTTAATTTTTATTTTAATTTTTTTTTAAAAAATTTTATTTTAAATTATAAAAATAAAAAGTTGTTTAAAATAATAGGAAAAATTGAATATTTGAAAAATAATAGTAAAAAATAGAGTTATGATTAGAATAAAATTACTGTAGGAATTGCATATTTGGAGTTAAAATTGAATAAATGAAAATGATGGGTTGGAGATTACCTAGATAGCTCCGTCGTACTGTGTTTAACATGTCGCATGCTATGCTATGGTTGATATTGGTGATATTAGTACAATATTTAAGTTTGGCTATCTTATCTTTGGAAAATGGATGTGTTTGACTTTTGATGCATTTGATTACAATTTGGTATTGTTTATTTTTTATTTTTTTTTTTGTTTGTCGATTTTATTCTTTTTTTTTTCTTTTTTTTTTAAAAGTCAGTTCGCTAAGGGTGTGTTTGTTTGGGGGTTTGGATTTTGAGTTGAGATTTGAATAATAAAATTTTTGAATTTGAATAGTTGTATGATGTGATATAAATAGGTGTTGATGTGATGTCTTAAATGTAAAATTGATTTTTAGTATAATATAAAAAATAAAAAATAGGTGTTTGATTCGATATTTTTTGTGGGAAAAAAAAAAAAAAAGATGAATAGTGGATTGAAAATCCAATCTCCCAAACAAACACACCCTTAAATTTATTCTATTTGGACGATTTGGAGTTATTGGCAGGAGTGGATTATGATATAAGTCACTGAATCTCCAAATATTTTAAATAGCACTAATTCTCTGCGCGTATAAATTAATTGTATAAAATAAGACTGAAAAATCAAGACACTGGTCAAACGATGTCTATTTCACAATTTCGAAACATCAAATCATATAATTAACGTTAATTGCAATAATGCGTGAAAAGTCTTATTAATTAATACTAACATTTCAATTTAAGCGTGAAGCTCTAATTTAGAAGTTAATTTGGGAAAAATCGCAATTAATCTTAATTTTTCAAAATTGACGTCAAATTCAATCGATAATCAACAAAAGAAGGTCAAATACATTATTTACTTAATCCTAATCTGTTGGGTTTTTTTTTTTTTTTTTCTTTAATATTGCACCGAATTTTTACTGTGCTAGAAAGGATTGACAAATTCACCCAGCCCAGGTCATAATCACGCCTTAATTGCTGTCTGTATGGTTCTTGGGGACAAGTTATCCCATTTCACTAGGGTGTGTTTTTTTTAGAGGTTTTGGAGAAATTGGACATTGATTTTGATTTTTATTTGAATTTTGAGGTGAGTTTGAATTTATATATATATATATATATTTTTTTTTAGGTCTGGGTTGAATTTGAAGAATTTTGATGTCTATTGATTTGATGGTAATGAATATAATAATATAAATGTGTATTACTTTGTATAATTTTATTATAAATTTATATTATACCTATATATATATTTCTAAATTTTTATTTATTTGTATTATAAAAAATTTTATTCTCTATAAAATTACATATATATTATATATATTTTTTATTAAATTATAATTATTATAATTATTTATATTTATAATTTAAAAAAACTAAAAAAACAAAGATAACAGACGCTGTCAAACGTGTCCCCTCAAACCCTAGACAGCTTAGTTTTGGACTAAATTACTGTACAAACCCCAACAGTCCAATTTTGGACTAGATTACTGTTAAACCCCGACAGCCTAAAATCCCAACAGCCCAGTTTTGGACTGATTTACTGTGTAAACAGTTTTGGGCTTATTTACTGTGTAATCAGCCGGCAGGAGAAACACACCCTAAACTAATAAAAATTACCATTCTCTTACAATATTTATATTATATTTTCTTGCAAATATCAATAATTCAATATAAGTTTATATTATACTCGCTCCGTCTACTTAATAAGTTTACATTTACCTGTGTACTTAGCATTAAAAATATTATTATATTTGTATTATTTTTTATACAAATATCATTGTATATGTATTATAAGACATTAATATAAGTATTTTTTGTCTTTTTCTCTTTATTTGTATTGTGGTTTGATATAATAATTAATATTTAAAGATCAACATGCAAAAAACAAATGTAAACATTCTAAATGGACGGAGGTAGTATTTTTTTATACGATCTTCATGCGCAAATAGAGGTATGTGAAACTGGCATGCCACAAATGGCAATGGACGGAACTCGAACTCGAGACCTAAGATCATCTCCAATTCATAACTTAATTTTGGAGCAGCTACAGTAAAAATGCAATTCATTTACACTAATTTTACTTTAACCACAAATTTTAATTTTTACTCTAAATAATACTCTCTCCGTCCACCAAGAAAGTATACATATTTTTATTTTGGGACGTCCAATTAGAAAGTAAACATTTCATTAAATACTCTACTTTTTCCACAAATACCCTTACTTTACATCACATCATTACTTTTACACAAAAAAGTAAGGACAAAAATGTCATTACACTACTTTTAACTACTCACTATAATTAAAATACTATTTTTTTTTAAACATCGCGTCAAAAGTAAATGTATACATTGTAAGTGGACGGAGGGAGTATATTCTCTATATATTCCTCCATTATACTCCCTCCGTCCGCTTACAATGTTGACATTTACTTTTTGCACGTTGTTTAAGAAATATTGTATTTTAATGATAGTTATGATAAATTTAATGTAAAAAGACCAAAACATCCCCTATATTACTTTTACTTTTTTGCTTTGTAATTAAGTGGTGATTTGGGGTAATATAATTAATGCATTTTACCAAAAAATTAATTAAAGCTAGAGTGTACAAAAAATTAGCAAATTTATAGAATAATTAAGATTACTAGGATAATTACATAATTACTAGAAAAATCACAAAATGCAGAAAATAACTAATGTAATTAGAATTAAAACTACACAATTAAATTTACGGATTTAAAATTAAAATTACACAATTAAATTTACAATTCACGTAATTAAATACAGTGCAGAAATCTTAGTTAAGCTGACAGTGTTCAAATTAATAAAAAGTGTACAAAATTAGAGAAAAAAAACAGTGTACAAATAAAAACTGTACATAATTAGGAAAAAAAAAAGTGTACAAATAAAAAGTGTACAAAACTAGGAAAAAAAATCAGTAGACAAACGTATAACATCATACATTGAGAAGGGAAAATCAGTAGACAACGCGATATATCAGTAGAAATCGCAATAAATCGTTATGGCATCACACAATAAAAATCACAGTGAATATAGATAAAAACCAGTGCCCAAAACAACCTCCAAAACAAATTATTTCCCTCTCAAAGAAGGATAATCATATCACAGTAACATCATGTTAACCTTTCTCATCAAGGAAAAAAATTTCCTCCGTTACCAAATGCACATTTCCCCCTTAAATTACACTATATATACATCATTAAATTCACATATTAAGCTATTCATTTTCACAATGGCTAGAAATATGAAAAAACAAAATTTAGCAGTCAATGATCTTAATAACATTGCACAATTTCTGTTGCAAGGGTCTACCAACGGGAAATCGGTTCATGGGAAAATTACTGAAGCAATTTTAAAGTATAGTGTAAGCAGACAAGTCATCCACAGAATTTGGAAAAGAGCACACGAGCAAATTCAGTCAGGTCAGCCCATATCTTTAAAAAATAAGAAATCAGACCTTCCTCGGGTTAAGAGGAAGGAGTTTGATAAAACTGCTCTACAAAGTATAGCTGTGCACAAGAGAGACACTTATACAAATATTGCTAAAGAGATGAATGTCAGCAAGAGTATTGTCGGGAATCGGGTAAAATCGGGGCTGATCAGGCCACACACCAATGCTATCAAGCCTTCCCTTAACGAGAAAAACAAGATAGAGAGGCTAAAGTTCAGCCTCAACTCACTACAGATTGATAGTGCATCGAAAGTCATCAAATTTCAAAGCATGTCACAAGTTGTGCACGTAGATAAGAAGTGGTTTAATCTTACAAGGGAGACAAAAATATACTATCTACTCCCCGATGAGCCAGAGCCGTACAAGGTCTGTCATAGTAAAAGATTCATTACGAAAGTAATGTTTTTATGTGCAGTTGTTAGACCGATGTATGCTAGTAATGGAGAGTGCATATTCGATGGGAAAATAGACATTTTCCCTTTTACAGAAAAGGTTCCAGCCCAAAGAAATTCAAAGAATAGAACAATTGGGACAATAGTTACAAAACCATTAGAATCCATCACAAAGAAAGTCACAAAGAAACTTTTAATCAACAAGGTATGTTGTTTCACTTTGTATTTCTACAATTAGACTGCCTTATCCCTCAGAAACATTTCATCATTGGGTTATTGATCACAAGTATAAGTCTTCTAATAAAAAATTACGCGAGTAATACTCATTGGTGACTTTATAACAGGTGATACCAGCAATAAAGGAGAAGTGGCCAACCAACAGGGACAAAAATATCACTATTCAACAGGATAATGCAAAGCAGCACATCAATAACTCTGATCTAGATTTCAGATGAGGAGCAAGTGCCGATGGATGGAATATCAATTTGGTGTTTTAAGCACCAAACAGCTCAGACACAAATGTGAATAACTTGGGATGGTTCCGGGCACTGCAATCTTTACAAATTACACAGCCAGGTACCACAGTTGATGACTTACTTGGAGCAGTTCACAAATCATTTGAGCAGCTATCACATACAACTCTAAATTCAGTATTTCTAAGTTTGCAAGCATGTCTTGGTGAGATAATGGCTAATTTTGGATCAAACAATTATAAGATCCCTCACCTAGGAAAAGAGTCTTTGAGAAGGTCAGGGAATCTCCCGGAAGACATTCAAGTTGACAATGAGATGATCAAAGCATGTATTGATCATTTGATGGACTTAAATAAAGTGGAAGGCCTGGAGAACTTTATAACTTCTCTAGAGGAGTTTTAGCAATAGATAAATGCATAGGTGTAGTAAATCATGCTTTTGATGATGGGATAAGTTATTGCTATTGCTATAAAACACCTCTATTTAGAGAGGTTGTTTAAGCAATAACCAATAATCTCTTTTGTAGGATAACTAAATCGATTTGTACGCTCAACAAATCTTTGGATAGGATAATATGCATATGCGGAACATTTTGTATGTCTCTTTCCACAATTTATCATCATAGAGTGTCATCAACCCACTCTCATAAATTAATTGACATTTATTGGGTGCTCTAAGATACTAATCATCATCGAGTAAGGGCTGGAGTGTACAAATTTCAATGCATATGTGGCTACATTACTTTTAAAAGTAAGCCTCCAAATACAAAATGCATCATGTGGCCATCAAAGAGCACAATAAGTAACTTTCATAAGATAATTTTCATCAAGTGGGGCGCAATGCCTACGAATTCAAAGGCACAGTGGTTGCATTACTTTAAAAGTAAGCTTCCAAATACAATATACATTATAGGACCATCAAAGAACATATTCAATACACTCTCAGACGTTAGCCTTCATCAAGGGGGGGGGGGGGGGCAGTGACTATGAATTCAAATGCACAATGGTTGCATTACTTATAAAGTCAGCATCCGATACAACTATGCACGATCGGGACACTCTCGGAAGAAAATCATCGAGTGGAAGCTAGTTATGCAAAAAGTCTTGCACATATATGGTGCATTACTTATAGAGTAAGCCATCCATAAACAATATGCACTACATACAACCAACAACCTATATTGCACATAATCAACACGAAAATCATCATTTCAACCACTAAAATTGAAATTCCCAACTTCAAGTACTCATAAAATAAAAACCATAGAAGGTATACCTCAGAGTACTCAGGCAAGGTGGTCGCAAGAGGACAGTAAATCCTCAGGAATTGAAGGAACACTTCACGGCGGCTACGAGCATTGATTCCAGCTACAAGGGTTTTTTTGGCCATGTCGTTTTGAACAACAACCGGTGACGGACACACAATGGCATCCTCGGAGTTTGGCACAACCCAGCCGGAGTACAGGTGGGAAGATTCCGGCACCTCGGAGGCCAAATATTCTGAGTTTGTACAAAAGTAAGGTATCTCAACAGACAGCCGACGGCCCCCCGTCTCGGAGGTCTCAAGCCCACCGTCGAAGGTCCCGCACGTCTCCGGCACCATGGATCTGTAAAGATCAGAGTCGAAGAGTGAAAGATCGGAATATGGCTTCTCGGGCGACTGCCAAACAAGGACGACGGGCAAAGCCGGAGGAGGATCCATTGATAAATCCTCCGATCGATCGCGATTTGGGCGATTTTGCGCCATTCGGGTGGTCGACGGCGACGGTGGAACCAAGATCTAGAGAGAACGATGAAGACAAAGATCACGAGAGAACCCTAGGAGCGAGAGAGGATCGACGAGAATGAAGAGATTCAAATAATTATTTTAATTTTAGAAATTGTTTTTTGTTTTTAAATATTGTGTTTTATTTTAAAAAATGTGTTTTAGTTTTAATTGTTGGGTTTTATGTTTAATAATTGTATTTTAGTTTTAATTATTGTGTTTAAATGTTAATAATTGTATTTATTTAAGAATAGCTGTACAAATAAATATAATGGTATTTGTGTAAATAAGTGTAAAAGTAAAGGTACGAGTAATATGGGGTGGGGTCCATACTTTCTAAAAAATGAAATATAAACTTTGTAATTGGACATCCTAAAATGAAAAAATGTAAACTTTGTAACCGGACGGAGGGAGTATTATTTTATAATATAACTTTTCATATTTATAAATTACACCAAACTTTAATTTGATTTTATATCATCACTAAAAAATATATAATTCATATTTTATTTATAAAATTATATCACTTTTTAAAAAATAAATTATATATTATTTTCTGAAGAAATAAAATTACATATCACTTTCCAAAAAATAAATTATATATCATTTTCAAAAAATAAAATTATACATTCATTTTAAAAAATAAAATTAAACAATATACACAAAAAATAACAAAAATACACTAAAAATACATAAAATACTCCACTCTTACATTGTACTCCATTTTTTAAGTAATATTGTAGAAATGGGGTTGGGTTGGAGCCCCAACCCCTTCATTTTTACCAACACATTGCATTTATAGTGGATTGGAGATATTTAAGGGTTTGATATCATATTTGATGCTTAATAACCGTCTCACATAAAAATTCAAGTTTTTAAGAAAATACAATTATTAATTTTTATCCGACTGAAGTCTCCAACAATATTAATCTTAGGATCAAACTATTCTTTTTTTTCTTCTATTTTTGCAATTATTTCTATTTATTCTTTTCAAAAATATTACATTTATATATTACATCCAACAAATAAATAATAAGTACTACTCTCTTTGTCTCGTATATTCTACAATATTTTTTATTTTAATTTGTCTCATATACATACAACATTTATAAAATAAAAAATAATTAACTATATTTATCTCATTATATCACTCAAATAAAAACATTAATATACAATTCTCAATCATCAAATCACCTAATTTTCAATTTATTCTATTTAATATTACTCATCTAAATTCCCGTGTGGAACACTATATGTTACATCATATGTGTGACCGAAACAATATTTTTATTTTTTTTAAACATAATGATTACAAATTTAAAATTTTCAAACAAACGCATGTTAAAAACCGAACTTATTCGATCTGAAATTTTTCAGGTTCGGGTTTGGGTATTTCGGGTTTGCAAAAACTCAGATCAACCCGAACCCGAAAAGAAAAAAATGCGTGTCGTGTTTGAGTCGAGTTTCGAGTAGACTTGATAACCCGAAATGTAAAAATCAAGTCGGGTTTCGTATTTCGAATTGACCTGAAATTATTTATTATTATTATTTTTTTGTAATATTTATATTATTTTAAATATAAAATAATATAAAAAATAAATAAAAATGAATTTTTTAGGTTAAGTTTTTTTTTTTTTAAGTCTTCAACTTATTTCGTGTAAAGTTAGTGTCGGGTTTATTTGGATTTCGGGTGACCTAAAACTAAATTAGGTCAACATGAACCCAAATTGAAAGAATTCGTGTCGTATTCGGGTCTAGAATTTCAGGTCAAATTTCGAATTCGGATCAGATTCGATTTGATAGTTTTTTTGTTATCCCATGATCTAACCCGAAACGAATATGATCCGAAAACAAGAATTGACACCTCTACTTAAAAAGATTTAAACAAAAAACTACAAAAGAACAGAGTAGATTAAGGGTTAAGATGTGATATTAGAATAAGTAGATCGCTGGCCTAGTTATGAAATAGGTTAAAGATTTTTTTTCGCTACATTTTTCAAAAAAAAAAAATTAATATAATATACAAATTCATTATTTTTATATTACCAACATAATTTTCTATATTTTTATATAAAAAATTTTATATTCAACAATATCACAAAACAAATACACGGGCTTAAAGATAATATTTTTAATAATAATAATAATAATAATAAAAAGGTACAAGTAAACAAACCTGGATTAGCTGTCTATAATCCGAGTCCGAGGAAACAAAAAAGTAGTTGAGCAGTTTTTTTTTTTATTACTATTATTATAATTATAATTATTATTATTAAGGTAACTGTTTTTTTAGTCCCGTAACTAGACTCTCTTATCATTTTAATCCCGTAAGTGGAGCCTATCGCAAACTAGTCTTATAAGTGAAAATTTTTCGTTATTTTAGTCCTCCGGCGCCGGAGGTGATGTGTCTGCCAGGTGTCGCTGACCTGGCGGACACATGGATTTTTTTTGTCATTTTTAAATTTTTTTAAAAAAATATATTTTTAATTTATTTTAAATTTTATTTGTTTTTTTTTTAATTTTGTCCAATTAAAAAAATAAAAAAAATGAAAAAAAAAATAAAAATCTACGTGTCCGCCAGGTGTCGCTGACATGGCGGGACACCTGGCGGACACGTCACCTCCGGCGAGCCACGCAGGCATCTCCGGCACCGGAGGACTAAAACAGCGAAAATTTTTCACTTATAGGACTAGTTTGCGACAACTCCACTTACAGGATTAAAATAATAAAAGGGTCCAGTTACGGGACTAAAAAAACAGTTTACCATTATTATTATTATTATTATTATTATTATTATTATATCGTATTTAGTTGTATGCTTTCGTAATATGTCATATTTTTCCAATTTAGAATCAACTCGTTGAATCATATATTAGGGTATGTTTCGTAGTTGTGGCACATGTTGATATTATACTTTTAATTTTTATTATTTTTTCAAATTTATATCATTTATTTTTTCTTAAAAAATAGTACTCTCTATGCTATATTTATATATCCGTTTGCTTTTTTTTAAGAAATTTTAAAAATATTAGTATTATATTGAGATAAAGTATAAATAAAAATAAAAAGACTAAATTAACCCTATTAGTATCGTATGATATAAATGTAATGACATTTGTGTAATATATTGTAAATTGGAAGGGTATTTGTAACGTTAGGTAATTACTAAAAAAAAAAATGAATAATTTGTTATGAGACGGAAGGAGTATTATCTATAT